TTGATTGTGTTGTTTAGTTCCTCTGTAACTTTGTCGAGTTTCTTTCTGGTTGTTCTGTCCCTTTTTGAAAGTGGCATATTAAAATCTCCCACTGTAATTGTAGAATTATCTATTTCTTTCTTCAATTCTAGTAAGGTTTGCTTCATGTATCTTTGACGCTTTTTCATTGGGAGCATAGATATTTATTATGGTTATGCTGTCTTACTAAATTGACCATTTGATCATGAGATAGTGTCCTTCTTTGTCTCTTACACTGGTTTTTATCTTAAAGTTTACTTTGTCAGAGATTAGTATTGCCACTCCTGTTTGTTTATTGTTGCAGTTAGGTTGGTAAACTTTTTCCATCCTTTAATTTTTAGTCTGCTTTTGTCTTTGTGTGTAAGGTGTGTCTCTTGCAGGCAGCATATTGAAGGGTCTTGTATTCTTATCCATTCTGCCACTCTCTGTCTTTTCACTGGTGCATTCAATCCATTGACATTCAATGTAATTATCGATTTGTTGTTGTTGTTAAGTGCCATCGAGTCGGTTCCGGCCCATAGTGACCCTGTACAGGGTTTCTGAGGCTGTAAATCTTACAGGAGCAGAAAGTCTCATCTTTCTCCCATGGAGCAGCTGGTAGTTTCAAACTGCTGACCTTAAGGTTCACAGCCAAATTATCGATAGGTATGAGTTAATTGCTGCCATTATGTTACTTTTTTGGTAGTGCTGTTTGTTCTTTTGTTCTGCATTCTTCTTGTGTTGGGTTTGTGTTTTTTGTCAGTTTGTTCTTAGTTTTCATGTTTGCTTGTTCTGCTTGGAAGTTCATTTTCATGGTAAGTTGTGAAGTATTTACATTCTTTGGGGTTACCTTATAGTCTACTAACTTTTTTCTCCCTTTAAGAGAATCCATTGTATTCTGTAATTTACCTGATATCCTCACCACCTGGATCTCTATTGCTACGTTTGTCCCTTTTTTGAAATTGATAGAATTTTTATCTTTGGTTGACCTCCCGGTTCCCTTGAGTTTGTTGTTATAGTTTTGTTCTGTTCTGGACTCTGCTATCTGTTGACTGAGTTCCAGGTGGTGCTGACACTCCTGTCAATCTTTGTTTGTTGTATGTTCTTGCTGGTTTTCAGTCCACAGAACTCCCTTTAGGATGTTTTGAAGTGCTGGGTTGGTTTTGATAAAATCTCTCAGATTCCATTTATCGTGAAATGTCTTGATCACACCATCATATTTGATTGATAGTTTTGCTGGATAGATGATTCTTGGTTACCAGTTTTTTTCTTGTAGGATTTTGTATACGTCTCCCTATTGCCTTCTTGCCTGCATGGTTTGTTCTGAATAGTCAGAGCTTAATCTGATTTGCTTGCCTTTATAAGTGACATTTCTCTTCTCCCTGGTCGCTTTTAGTATTCTCTCCTTGTCTTTGATTTTAGAGAGCTTGAATATTACACATCTTGGCGACTTTCTTTCGGGGTCTGTCCTTCCTGGGGTACGTTCAGCTTCTTGAATGTTTATCTTCTCATCTTTCAAGATGTTAGGGAAATTTTCTTCCAGAAGTTCTTCCACTATCTCCTCTGAGGACTTCTCTGATTCCTCCTGTTCTGGAATACCACTAATTCTTAAGTTGTTCCTCTTCATGTTATCCAGCATGAAACGTAGACTCTCTTCAGATTTTTAAAATCCTTTTTCTGCTTGCGCATCTATCTTAGCAGTACTGAGAGATTTGTCTTCCAGCTCGCTAGTTCTGGCTTCTATCACTTCTATTCTGCTCCTTTCCCCTTTCAGTGTATTGTCCATTTCTGATATTTTATTATTAATCATCTGGAGCTCTTTTTGCAGGTTTTGAATAGTTTCCAATGCTGTATCAATCTTATTTGATTGCTCTTGTAGTACTTTCCTGACTTCTTCCTTGTTTTCCTCCACCCCTTTTTGGAGCATTTTAATTTGTTTCCATTATCATTCTTCTGAATTCTTTCTCAGGCATATCCAAAACCTGCTCTTCCTCTTCTCGAAAGCCCTTGTCTGTCTCCAGCTAATTTGTCTCAGCTACTCTCTTCTGTTTTTGGACATGTTTTTGTTTGTTGTTTGTTGTTTCTTGTTCAGTATTTTCAATAGTTATGTGTTGTTGTTGTTTTTTTTAATGCTTAAGTGGATGTTTGTTGGTGCTTGTTATTAAGCTTACTGGGTGTCTCCTGGTATATATGATCAGGAAATAGGCTTCCCTTTTCACATGTAATGCTTAGCAGGTGTTGTTGGCTCTTGTTTCAGTGGTGGAATATTATGGGGTAGGCTTATAGCTTGGCTATATGGCCACAATTGCTGTTTCTTCCTAGGTAACCAAGGGAGAAAAATATCCCGCCTCCAGGAAAGATGTGTGATCAAAAGGACCAAAAGCAGAAGTAATATAAATGCAGAGACAAATACCACCACTTTGGAACAGAAATAAAGCTGTGGTCGACTGTCCTGTGCTACACAGGCAGTGTGTGTGTAAGGTAGAAGCCTCCAGTAGTAGGTGAGGGTGTCCGCTCACTCAGGCCCCTCCTCTAGTCACTACAGTAGGGGTGCGCAGGTAGATATTGAGACCTTAATGGAAGAAAGATTGTCCACTATTTTTGTCTCTGAAGGTCAGTTACATGTCTGCATGTGTACAATGCAATTCTTGAGATGGTTGAGTCCTTTTATGTTGGGATTTTACAGATTGTATTATAAGGGGCCTGCACACAGAGCTCAGGTTGTGCAGCAGCCATCAATGGGGACACAAACCGCAAGGTCAGCAGCTTGAAACCACCAGCCACTCCGCTCCGCGGGAGAAAGGTGAGGTGCTCTGCTCTCGCAAAGACCCACAGCCCCAGAAACCCCGCACAGGGTCACCTGGATTCGGAATCGACTCTAAGGCGCACAGTCACCAAGGGTCTTGCACAAATCAATCTTAGAGCTGTGTCTCCACGGCTGACATCATTAGTGGCTGCCAAGCTCCTTCTCTCTATACTGTAGCAAAACTGCCAGGTCAGGGTTGTTTTTTGGGGGTGCACATCCACCCTCCTGATGGCGTCCTGGCTGAGCAAAGAAGGCGGGACAAGGAAGATGCAGGATAAATGTGTAGAGTCTCCCACACCTCTTTTTTGCAAGTGTCTCTGTGTCGCTTTTGGAGCCGGTTCACTGAGCCAGAATGGCTGTAGCCCCATCCTCTAAACTCTGCCAGGGTGGGGTGGTCATAGAGGGAGTCCCGTCTCAGAATCCTAACTCACAGTATTTTCCTTCATATTGTGACTTTTTTTCACTTGTGAGTGTGGAAAACTAATGTCCTGTATCTTATGGTAGATCCGGAGCTCTGGAGTTGTTCTGTGAGTGCTTACTGTGTGATATCCCAGTCCCTCTAGCACAGAGAGTTCCCTACCTGACTTTCTCCACTGCCTCCAAAACCAGAAGTTGTTTTGGAAGTTTCAAAATTAAACAGCGGAGAAGCAAATGTGTGAGGGTTGCAGCTCTGTAGTTAGCAGAACAGCTGGCCCTGCTCCCACCCTAGGGGATCTCCCCCATTCCTTGTTAGGCAAATACACCCTATGTAGTATACGTGATAACATCAAGTAATATTCTCAACAAGTCTTTATTGAGCAGTATTAAGCTCAGCTACATCCTAGAGTAGCACTGTGAGATAAAGCACTGGACTACAAGGTCAGTTTGAACCACCAGCCACTCCTTGGAAACCCTATACAGGGTCGCTATGAGTCGGAACTGACTCGACAGCACTTAACAACCACAAAGCTCAGCTATATCTCAGTATTGCATAAGCTAAAGAAGGGAAGGAAATAAACATTTATAGAACATCTGTGTCAGACAAGGAAGAAAACTGGATTTTGTCTTTGTGGACTATAAACATTAGTTGGGTAAACAAGACTGGCATAAAGTTAACATTGAGAAATATTCATTCATAATTTAGTACTAATTTATAGAAGTGGATTATCTCCACATTTTACCTGACTCACCTTTACCTCACCAGTGAGGGCAACTGTAAGTACCAAGGACGTTTAATTTAGCAAGACACTGAGGGTAAAGAGAGACCATAACAGTATAAAATCATCTGGGCAGGAGAAATGTAAACAAACTGGGGGACAAAGAACCACATTTTCATCCTGGAGCAAAGATAGAGGCAGAACCCTAGAAGATTCCCAATAGCTGTGACTTTCTCTGTATGTTTATGTATGTGCTACTGCTATTAAGTGCTGGTGAGTCACTTCTGACTCACTGTGACCCTGTATAGGGTTTCTGAGGAGAAGTTGGTGGGTTTGACCTGCTGACCGTGTGGTCCAGTGCTGTTCCTACAGCACCACACCAGGAGTCCTTTATATAGTATAACTATGATCTGCATTTTACTTTGAGAAAAATTAGTAACAGAAAGTTAATAAATTGCTGAAGAATCACATGGCAAGAAAGTGACCAAGCCAGGATAAAGACTTAGGCCATCTGGTTCTAACACTCGGAACTGTAATCATTACACTATGTAACCTATCAATGAAACTCCCACTAATCCTTTCAAAAGTGAATTCTAAATTGGATATTAGGTAAGAAAGAAAGAAAAATATGATGACTAATATGCACTGGACTGCTAACCACAAGGTCAGCAGTTCAAACCCACCAGCCAATCCTTGGAAAGCCTGTACATGGTCGCTATGAGATGGAACTGACTCGATGGCATTTAGCAACAACAACAATATTAATTATGAAGCACACAACCATGATAATCCGTTTGTGGTTGCTGAGTGCTGTCGAGCTCTTCAGACCCCTAGTGACCCTGTATAGAGTTTCCAAGGAGCGGCTGGTGAGTTAAATCGCCGACCTTGACATTCAAACCAAACTTGCAGTCCAGCGCATTAAGCCACAGCACCACACCAGGACTCGCTGATATTTCATAGTCCACGAAAACTAAGAAACATTTCAAAAAAGAAATATACACTTCAGTGTCCTAGTCCACACAAAAGTAACAATGCGGTCAACACTTGGGCAGCGGTCTCACCGTGACTCTCTTCATATCTAGCTGACGCAGCTGCGTCATATTCTGCAGAACCGTGTGTTTGTACCATGACTCTTGAGCTATTGGATTGCCATCAAAAGAGATGTCTGACAGGGAGGTAGACTCAGCCAGGCAGGAAACACTATCGAAACTGCAGGAAAGACAAAAGGCACTGGATTATTCTGAGGCCTTCAAACACTACTATCATTTTTTAAATTGACTGTTTTTTAGAACAACTTTAGACTTGCAGAAAAAATTGACAAGTTAGTGTACAGAATTCCCATATACTATGCAAGCAGTCTCCCCTATTATTAACATCTTGCATTAGGCTGGTATATTTGTCAAATTCAATGAACCAATAATGCTACATTATTATAATGTAAAGTCCATACTTATTCAGCTATTGTTAGTTTTTACTTAATATTGTTTTTCTGTTCCAGGATCCCATCTATATGATGTTGTTGTTGTTAAGTGCCATTGAGTTAGTTCCAACCCATGGTGACCCTGGAGTGGCTGGTGAGTTTGAACTGCTAACTTTGTGGTTCAAACCAAGCTTGTGGCCCAGTACTTATCCTGCAGCGCCACACCAAGCCTCCATCTATCTGATAAGTTGTCATCTCCTTAGGATCCTCTTGGCTTGAGAGTTTCTTAGACTTTCCTTGTTTTTGACGATCTTAACAGTTTTGAGGGGACTCAAAGATATTTTGTGGAGTCCTGGTGTGGTGCTGTGGGTTAATGCACCTGACTGCAAAGCTGTTTGAACTGCAAGGTCGGCGGTTCAAGCTAACCAGCTTCTCTTTGGAAACCCTATACAGGGTTGCAATGGGTCGGAATTGACTCGACAGCACTTAACAACAACAACAAATGTATCTTGCAGGACAACCTACTATCAGGATGTACTTTCTCATGATTAGACAGGAGTTAGGATCTATACTATTAACATAATGTATCATGGTTGATGTTGATCTTGACCACTTCGCTGAGGTAGTATTCACGAGGTTTCTTCAATGTAAAATCCCCCCTCAACTCTTTGAAGGGAAATTACTATGAGGAATAGGAAATTATGTCCCTCAACCTTAAAGACAGAGTATTTACATACATTATTTGGAATTATTCTTTCCAGGAGACTTGTCTTTTCCCCCTCATTTATTTATTTATTCAATCACTTATTTATATTAGAATGAATTCATGAAGATCTACTTTATTCTTAGGATCATAATCTAATACCACTTTATTTTGTTGTTCAGATTGTTCCAGCTTTAGTCATTGGGAGCATTTTCAGTGGGTTCTTGTGTAACATATTGCCATCCATGTATTCTTATCTTTGTGTGCTTAGCACTTCCTTACTCTCTGGTACCACAACATGCTCCAGACTCAAATATTTCTGTATTTCCTGCCCCAGTTTTAAAATCAAGTCATTTCTCTAAGAAGTCCAAGTTCCTTTTATTGGAGAACGTTTTTAGAAACCAAGATCTAGGAGCTAGATTACTTTGTTACTGGGATACCATTACATTCAGACCATTTCAGCTGACACAGCAAGGAAGTATATGTGTATATACTAATCTGTATATATACACAGACATAAAAATATTTCTTATGTAATCATCTGTGTTTTTATTAAGCTAAACATGAGTTCATATTGATGTCTTCAACACTAATCCATTACCAAATGGGTCACTGCAGCCTCCTCTGCTTATTTGTAAATTCCTGCTCCAACAATAAGACATCTGGCTCCAAACATCTGCCATCCATTAAGTTAACTGGTCATTTCCAGTATACAAGTATAGTAGTATCAGAATTGTTAACCCATACTTCCATGGGAAACAACTTTCCCAACTAGTATACAGTGATTATATGTAATTCCTTTCATCTTAGTCTTATAGATTAATCTCCAAAATTATTTAGATTAATACCTTTCCTCCTAGTCCATTCAGTGAGGTTGTTTCTTACAATTGATACACAGATTCCCTTGCTACAGTCTGCGATCTTTCTTGGAATCCTCCATCCTTTTCAGTGAACTTAAAAGTGTTCATCAATTAAGAGTTACTCTTTGTGCTGTAAAGTTCTATGGATTTTGACAAATGCATAATGTCATGTATCCGCCATTAAAATACCATACAGAATAGTTTCAGTGTCCTAAAAAATGCCCCTATGCTTTTACCTATTAAACTCTCTCCCCTACCCTTTGCCCCTGGCAACCATTAATTACTGTTAGTTTTTGTGTTTAGGAATAAAGCTACTAGAAACATTCATGTGCAGGTTTTTATGTGGACATGTATTTCACTCAGTTGATTAAATACCTAGGCGCATAATTGCTGGACCAGATAGTAACACTATGTTTAGTTTGTAAAAAATGCCAATGCATCTTCCAAAGTGGTTATACCATTTTGCATTCCTACCAGCTCAGCAATCTTACCAGCATTTGAATAGCCAGTTTAAAAATTTTTTAATTTAATTTTATTTTAGCTATCCTGTTACTTGGAAGACAGGTCTAATCATCTGGCTCTGAAAGGTCCTAGTCATGGGAAACCATGGGGCAGCAGTTCGACTCTGTACACACGGGGTTGCCATGACTCTACTAACAGCCAAATAGGTATGTATGGACAGTCTCTGGGTTACAAATGAGATCTGGTCCCAAGGGCGTCTTTAATTCATAGATCAGTCAGGATAGGTGCACACAGCTCTTATTTAGCCTTATTTAGTGCTGTAGGATAAGCACTAGAATGCAAGGTTGGTTGAACTGCAAGATCAGTGGTTCAAACTCACCAGCTGCTCCTTGGAAACCCTATACAGGCCTAACATTACAAAAGGAATCCTGTTGTGATACTGTAGGATAAGCACTAGACTGCTAACCACGGGTTTGTGGTTGAAACTCAGCAGCCTCTCCTCAGAAACCCTATACAGGGTCACTAATGAGTCAGAACCAACTTAATGAAATCAAATTCAATACATCTGTGGAAAGAGAGGATGGAAAAGCGCTATATACCATCAGTCAAAACAAGGCCAGGGGCAGACTGTGGAACAGACCATCAATTGCTCATATGCAAATTCAAACTGAAGCTGAAGAAAATGAAAACAAGTCCATAAGAACCAAATTATGACCTTGACTATATCCTTTCTGAATTTTAAGATCATCTGAAGAAGATAATTCATACATTAAACACTAAACAGCAAAGACCAGAAGAGTTGTGGAATGACATCAAAAACATCATACAGGAAGAAAGTAAAAAGTCATTAAGAAGACGAGAAAGAAGGAAAAGACCAAAATGGATGTCAGCAGAGACACTGAAACTTGCTCTCCACTGTAGAGATGCTAAAGCAGATGGAAGAAATGAGGAGGTAGAAGAACTGAACAGAAAATTTCAAAGGTCAACTCGAGAAGACAAAGTTAACTATTACAACAAAATGTGCAAAGATCTGGAGTCAGAAAACCAAAAAGGAAGAACACGCTCAGCATTTCTAAGCTGGGGGAACTCAAGACAAAAATTCAAGCCTCGACTTTCATTATTGAGGGGTTCTCTGGGTAAATTATTGAATGATGTAGAAAGCATCAAAAGAAGATGGAAGGAATACACAGAGTCACTGTACCAAAAGGAAATGGTTGATGTTCAACCACTTCAAGAGGTGGCATATGATTAAGAGCCAATAATATTAAGGAAGAAGTCCAAGGTGCATTGAAGGAATTGGCAAAGAACAAGGCACCAGGAATTCATGGAATAAAAATTGAAATCATTCAAGAAAGTGAGGTGGCACTCACTCATCTCTACCATGAAATTCTGAAGACAACTATCTGGCTGGCTGACTGGAAGAGATCCTTATTTGTGCCCATTCCAAAAAGAGGTGACCCAACAGAATGGGGAAATCATTAGAAATCTCTTTGATATCCCATGAGAGTAAAGTTTTACTAAAGGTAATACAGAAAAGACTGCTAGCATACATTGACAGAGAACTTCCAGAGGTTCAAGCCGGATTCAGAAGAGGGCGTGGAACAAGGGATATCATTGCTGATGTCTGATGGATCTTGGCTGAAAGCAGAAAATATCAGAAAAATGTTTACCTGTGCTTTACTGACTACACAAAGGCTGTCGATTGTGTGGATCATGATAAGCTATGGACAACATTGCAAGGTATGAGTATTCCGGAACGCTTAATTGTGCTCTTGAGGAATCCGTATATGGACCAAGAGTCAGTTGTTCGAACAGAACATGGGAACACCGAATGTTTTAAAATTAAGAAAGTTATATGACAGGGTTGTATTCTTTCGCCATACTTATTCAACCTGTATGCTGAGCAAATAATCCGAGAAGCTGGGTTATAGGAAGAAAAACATGGCATCAGGATTGGAGGAAGAATCATTAATAACCTGTGATATACAGATGATACAACCTTACTTGCTGAACGTGAACAGGACTTAAAATATTTAATGATGAAGATCAAAGCGCACAGCCTTCGGTATGCATTGCATTTCAATGTAAAGAAAACAAAAATCCTCACCAGGGGACCAATAAACAATATTCTTATCAATGAAGAAAAGATTGATGTTGTCAAGGACTTGATTCTTTTTGAGTCAACTATCAACACTCATGGAAGCAGCAGTCAAGAAATCAAATGACGTATTGCGTTAGGCAAATCTGCTGCACACGACCTTTTTAAAGTGTTAAAGAGCAAAGATGTCAGCTTGAAGACTAAGGTGCTCCTGATCCAAGCCATAGTATTTTCAATAACCTCAAATGTATGCAAACGCTGGAGAGTGAATTAGGAAGACTGTAGAAGAATTGATGCATTTGAGTTATGGTGTTGGAGGAGAATATTGAAAGTGCCATGGGCTGACAAAAGAACCAACAGATCTGTGTTGGAAGAAGTGCAACCAGAGTGCTCCTGGGAGGCCAGTATGGCCAAACTTCGACTCTCATATTTAAGATATATTGTCAGGAGGGTCCAGTCGCTGGAGAAGGATATCATGTTTGGTAAAGTGGAGGGTCAGAGAAAAAAAGGAAGACCCCCCCCAGTGAAATGGATTGGCCAAGTGGCAACATCAATGGGCTCAAGCGTGGTAACAATTGTGAGGTTGGCCCAGGACTGGGCAGTGTTTCATTCTGCTGTGCATAGGGGTTCCTATGAGTCAGTATCGACTCGATGTCACCTAACAAC